CTTCGAGGGAGAAAACGCCGTCACGATGCTGCAGACCGCCCGGTTTCTGATGAAAAGTTGTGACCAGGTGCACTCGGGAAAGCTGGTGTGTGGCATGGTGTCCTACTTGAAGGACCTGCCCAGTCAGCGGCCGCGTGGCCCACCGTGGTGGACATCGACAGCCCCACAGCCTCACCGAAGCCTATCGGCTCCGGGCGGCCAGATTAGTAGAAATTGCTGCCAAAAACCTTCAAACTGGTGAGTCACAGAAAAAGCAAGGAGGTCGTGTGGAACCTGACTTCCGTGGACCTCGTGCGAGCTAGTGAGGCGCACTGCCACTATGTGACAGTGAAGCTCTTTTCAGAGCAGCTCCTCAAAATTCAAGGTAAGTCCATCCAGACCGTCTTGAGGAATTTGTGCCTCTTGTATTCTCTGTACAGGATCAGTCAGAAGGCGGGGGCTTTTCTTCAGGAGAACATCCTGACAGACTCTCAGATCACCCAGGTGCTGCTGACCGTGATCCGCACGGACGCTGTTACGCTCATCGATGCGTTTGATTTCCAGGATGTGTCGCTGGGCTCCGTGCTGGGCTGCTACGATGGCAACGTGTATGAGAACCTGTTCGAGTGGGCCAAGACCTCCCCGCTTAACAAAGCCGAGGTCCATGAATCTTTCTACAAGTACCTGAAGCCACTGCAGTCCAAGCTCTGAAGGTCACGACCTCAGTCCTCCACGCCCCTGCACCTGCCACACAAACCTGCACAGAATCTTGATCCAATGCAGAGAGCTTTGGAGCACATGATAAATTGACCCTTTCCTCGTTATAAATGAAGAAAACAATGACCAGCTTTCAGAGATTAAATGAAAAAACAAATGTTTTAAGTGCAATTAACATTGAAAGAGACCCGCTAAGCATTCAGAAAAGGCTTTAAGAAATGCAGTATGACTTGCCTTTGTAACGCTGCTGATCCCAGGCCAGAACTTTTGATAATTCAGAGTTTAACTACTAAGTAATTAATTTTTCACTCTTAATTGCTAATCCCTGGATAATAGTGTTTTTAAGCAAACATATTTTTGAAGTGGGGTCGCACCCTTCTGAGCTTTCCTGCTGAATGCCCTACCCCTCCCACCATGGGCCCTGGCTTAAAAGCAGTTCCGAAGAAAACGGATGGGAGAAATAATCAGGAAATTCGGTGTGAGTCTGGCTTGACACATTTTCTGTCTGCTTACCCTTGATTGCTGACGTACTTCCTAATTGTTCATAGTAGCATTTGTCCAACACAAGTATTTCTTCGGCACAGGCCCACTGCGAGGTCATGGTCCGGTGCAATTGGGAATGAATCTTCCATTTGCAGGATCGCTAAATTGTCACTGGAGTAGCGCTGCAACTCCCTTTGTCCCCAACATCTTGGAAAGAGGTAGGTAGTGAAGTTATCTCATAGGACCTTTGGCAGTGATGGGACTTCAATCATTGGTGTTTGATCTCCCGCCCTCTTCCCCTAACTTCCTGAAGGTGGTGCTGAAGAAAGGAGAGCATCACCGTTCCTTCCGGGTGGAGTAAGTGTAGGGAGAGCTCTCGGTCACGGTTACTGTGACTTGGTGGCCATATTCACTGGAAAGCCTGGAACAATCCAGATTTCGTATGTGCTGTCATTTTGGCTAAACCATGAACATGCTTGGAGGTTCCAGCACCCAGCACGACACAAGTAAAAGCATCACTCAGGCTGCCTCTTACGCCCCTGGTAGCACAGGAAAAGCCCTTCGTGAACCATGTGTTCTGATTTTGGATCAGAAAATATAACCATTGGAACTATGGCTGAAGGATAAATGGAAGTTGCATAGAGTCTGTTTCTTACTGTACAGTTGTTTTTATTTTCAGTATGTTTCTAGGAGTTTTATCTGAACTGCTAAATTGTTCTTTCAACTGAAATCTAATTTACACAATCATTCTATATGTAAAGGGTAAACATGTATCTCTTAAATGAGTTTTATTCTTAAAATCAATGTAAAACAACACATCACTTGATTTTAATTTTTTTAACCTGCTAATGGTGTCTGTGAAATCAGTTGTTTCTGCCTCAGGAAGCTGGTTGTCCTAGAACTGTCTTGAGGAAGTGCTGTAGTTCATGGAAATTAATTCCTACCTGGGACCTGACATAAAATCTGTCCCAGTAATCGGAGAATTTTGGGCCCAGCAGGAATGCCTGTCTGTCGACACAAGCCTTACTCTCTCCGCCAGGAGGATTAATTGACAATTGTGTTAAGATTGAAGTAAAAAGCACCATGTTCATCTCATTTGAGTATTTCTTGACAGTTCAGATTCTGAGAAATAATATTTAAATTACTGGATATTGACCTGTTAAATACAGAATTGTTTCACAATCAGTGCTTAAGCACCTTATCCACAGGTGAACATCTGTAATCATAATCTGTGTTTGAAATACATGCACCTAATAAAAAACTAAATCTGAAAAAAAAAAGGATGAAGAATTGCAGCTTGATCTTTAAGCATGATTTCGCATAATTTCCTTTGTCTTAAACTCTAGGAAAACTTCCTGGTATCATGCTGTACATAATAAATGTGCTGCAGTAGCTCTGGGTCACTGTCTCTCCATCCGAGAACAGTGTCCCACCTGACCCCAGCTTTACCCACTGTCTCTGTGTCTCTTTCTTTTTCTCAATCCCCAGTCGCCCCTATTCAGGATTCATTTGCTCTCTAGCCGTGCTAGTCATGGCTGGAGTACCCCCATACATTCCTTCACTCTCAGCCATGCCTTTTGATTGGAGCATTTAATACATTTACACTTTAGGTTATTATTGAAGTACTTATTTGCCATTTTAATTCTGTATGCCTGTTTCTCTCTCTATATATGTATGTATATATATCTTCTCATTATCGCAGTCTCTTTAGCATTTCTTGTAGTGTTGACTTGGTGGTAACAAACGCCTTTAGCCTTTGTCTGGGAAGCTCTTAATTTCACCATCTATTTTGAATGATAGCCTTGCTGGATATAGTAATCTTGGTTTCAGATCCTTGCTTTCCATCACCTTGAGTACTTCATGCCATTCCCTTCTGGCCTGTAGTTTCTTATGAGCAATCAGGTGTCAGCCTTATGGGAGCTCCTTTGTAGGTGACAGTTTACTTTTCTCTTACTACCTTTCAGATTCTCTGTCTTTATTTTTAGTCATTTTATGATGTGTCTGGGTGTGGGCCTATTTGTGTTCCTCTTGCTTGGGACTCTCTGTGCCTCCTGAAATTGTGTGACTTTTTCCTTTACCAGGTTTAGGTAGATTTTCTGCCATTATTTCTTCAAACACGTTCTCTATCCCTTGATCACTTTCTTCCCCTTCTGGCATGCCTACTACATGAATATTGTTACATTTCATGTTGTCCCACAGTTCCCTTAAACTGCCCTCCTGTTTTTTCAGTTTTTTTTTCTTTTTGATTCTCTGAAAGAGTGCTTTTTTTCTACCCTGTCTCCTAATACACTAATCTGATTCTAAGATTCCCCTAATCTGCTGTGTATTTCTTCCAGGGTGTTCTTTATTAGTGCTATGCCATTCTTTACTTCCGTGTGTTTTTTTTCATAGTTACTATATCTTTTCTCATGCTGTTGAGCATCTTTACCATCATTATTCTGAACTCTATATCTCTATATTACATAAATTTCATATGTACATTTCATTTATCTCTTTCTCATTTACAGGTTGTTTTTTTGTTTTGTTGTTCTTTTGTCTCTGCATTTTGGCTGCCTGTTTGGGTTTGTGTCTGTGTGTTAGGTGGATCTGTTACAACCCTGTCTCTAGTGTGGGACAATATCAGACGCTGTTTGTGACTGGCCCTGAGTACCCTGTTTGGAGCTGTCAGCAATCCACAGCTTGTGGCTCCCTCTGCGGGGGCTGGGTGCCTTTTGAAAGGACCAAGATATGCATCAAGGTCTGCTTTTCCTAGCCCCAGGCCCGGTAGGAGATCAGGCAAAGACTCAAAGCCTCCACAGAGCCACCTGTGCCTGCTGTCATCAGCAGACTTGATTGGCCTTAGGCTATGTACCACAGGACAGGGCAAGAGGTCTTCCAGCAGGGTGTGGCGACTGCCTTTCCCGCAGGCCCAAACCGTCTGGATGCAAAGGTTCACTGGCGAAAGGTGTCCTCTGCAGCGTGAAGGAATGACTCGGCACAGGAAACTGGGGGGCTGCCCTCCGAGCTCCAACCCCAGAGCCCCCAAGTCTGGCTTCTGGGTGACGGGCACACAAATGTGTTCACTTTGGAAACCTATCAAGGTGCACGTTTATGTACTCGTGTCTACATCTGCTATAAGCCAATTAAAAAATCATTACAAGAAAAAAATTCATGTTGGCACCCAGTTTAAAACCCCTCAGGGGCCCTCTTGTGGCCTGGGATCAGAGTCAGGCCCCTCTCTGGAACTTCTCTCCTTGCCATGGCTCTGGCCACAGAAGTTCACATATGACTCCCTAAATTAGATACAGTAGCTCTTGTTCCCCTCCATCCTCATCTCCCTCCCCCTCCATGGATAACTCCTTCTTATTCTGCAGGTTTCAATTTAAACATCATCTTGCAGACGCGTTTCCTGACCACGAAGCCCCTTTGCCGACACCTTAGGTGCCCTCTGTGTGTTTGCACAGCCACAAGGTCCCCACCCACGACCGCCAGCTCAGCAAGGCACTCACTACACTCTCTTGCAGTGTCCAAGGAGAACCTGCCACAAGGGACCACATCTTCAAACTCCAAACCTGCTGTCCTTTCCCTCATGGTTAGTGCTGCTGGGCAGCTCGCCTGCCAGACCCTGCCCGGGCAGCCTGCAAGGCTGGGCACCTAGCAGAGGCCTGGGTGCCATCCTGACTCGAGAAAACTGCTGCCGCCGGACCCAGCTCGGCCACCAGCCTCGAGGGTCAGCAAAGCTCTCCTGGGGGCTCTGCTGCTTCTGCCAGGCGAAGGCATGGACTTTGAGCTCGGACGCTCTGCCTTCCTGAGTGTAAGAGCTGGATGACCAACCACAGTTCTAAAGAAGAGGCGTTTATTGTGTGAGCAGACCTTACTGTCCTGACAGCAGCAGGAGGTTCATTCACAGTTCACCTCGGGCCCAGGGCGTGTGCCACGCAAGGGCAGCACCAGGACCTACATTGCATTTAGTGGAACAGAATTACAGTAAAATAGAATAGTTTTTATAAAAAGGGTGTGTTTTTTAAGTACATAGTTTTTAAAAAAATTATAACATTTTTTCTCAGTTTTTCTATGTTTACATTGTTATACCAATGATAACTGGTTGGAAAACATAGTACTTGATCATCCTTTTCTCAAATTGTTGACTTTAAGTTAATGTATTCTCATACTTTCATTTTGAAGAGAAATTGTGCCTATTTCTCTGGAAATCTAAATCATAAGTAAGGCATTGCATAGATTACAGATGGGATGAAAGCCTTCGCTCTGACCCTAACTTGTATCGTATGCAATTAAAGCTTCCAGACCCAGCCTGGGTGTTGCTAAGTAACTGGGAGACTCAGGAGATGGCTTCTTGCTGGTGTCATCACCATGGAGGGTCCACTCTGTGCTCGGCTCTGGAGAGCATGCAGCGTGGCTGATCCTGTGGTGGTTTTCAGTCGGCACAGTCCCAGGGGAGGGGCCGAGTGCGGACTCAGGCCACCAGTGTCCCTTCTGTGGTAGCGCAGAGACCAAAGACCAAATGACAAAAGAGAACCTGGTGTCCTGCGGACGCTTTGGAAGATCAATGACGACACGCGTGAGCGAGTCTCATGGGTGTGAGCTCGACCACATGATGACCAGAGTCCTGCCTGAGCCCTTTCCTTCCTGCATGAAGCAGGGAAAACACGACTTCAAATTCAAAATGTTATCCCACCAAACTAGACACATGGCAGCTATATTTAAGTTGATAACTCTAATTATCCCCCACATTTCCCCATAAAATCAAGTATTTAAAAAACTAATCATAAAATCACACGGCAGTGGCCTACGTATTTAGATAACTTTGCACACAATGCGCCCCCATGTGTTACCAGGGAAAAGTGGTACCCTTAGGTGCCTTGACCAAAACATTCCCATTTCCACAAAATCCGATATAGTAATACTTTACTCAGAAAAATGCACTAGATACTGTCCCCTGTAACTCTTGAGTTGAATTCTTTCTTTTCATCATTCATGGCAATTTTAGAAAGGACTGCTTTCAAGTCTGGGGAGGGGCAGGGCGGGGAGGGGAGGGGATGGGATGGAATCGGTACCCCCGTGGCTATGAGGTGGTGTCCATAAAGCAGACTCCCAGCTCCAGGCCACGGGGTTCCTTCCTCCCCAGCACAGGCCAGTCTCGGAGGGAAACTGCTGCCACCCTCAGCGTGCAGCCTCATCCAGGGGCTTAGCCGGCAACCAGACTACAGTGTCCACTCAGGCAGGGCGGCCCTGATGTGAGGCATTATGGGCAGCAGAGCACATTAAGCTCCATTCTCGGAAACCACTTCCTAGTACATGTGAAAGCTTTGGTCTCCCAAGAGCTGAGTGCAGACGCGGCGGGCCTAGGGCGACGCATGCGCGTGGTGGGCAGGCAGACGTGTCTGTTCCCCTGTGAAATGCCATTTTGACAGATCCAACACTTTGTCAATCTTATGGAAAAGGAACATGCCACCATTCAGTGTGAGCACTGAATATAAGCTCAACACGAAACAGAGGCCTGCCCGCAGCAGGCTGTGTGCCTGGGCTCTGAGCTCGGCCCAGTGCCACTGTCCATGGAACAGAAGAGTTACAGGATTTCATATCCTCTGGCACTCGTTCAGAAAGGACATTTCCATCACGGCATCATGAGGGAAACTCCGTCACGGTCAGGTGGTTAGAAACAGGGCGCTGTTTCCAGAGCTCCCCTGCTCCCATCAGTCACCCCTGTGCTCGGCGCCCTCGCACGCCTCCCGGTCACAAGGCGCTCGCCTGTCACACAGCAGTGTCAGCAGACGCAGCTGACCATGACCAGCTGTCAGTGGCGACATCCTTTCCTAGAGTCAGAGGCTGTTTTTGAAAGACGCTTATGCCACGAGTCAAGAATTACTGGCAGAAGGAAAGCCCAGTTGCGTCTTCATATTTAAATTCAAATGTTAACAGGACCTCGTGCAGGGTGTGGCAGCAAGGGGCACTGAGGCCACAGAGAAACAGATTTCACACTGTGCCCCTCACAGGCTACACACGAGACCGGGTAGAAAGGCCCGGAGAAAGGTGGTCTGGCTCAGGGCCCACGGGAACCAGCAGCAAAAAGCACATCCCAGTGACTTTAGTATTTCTGCTCAATCTCCCAGAAAATGAACTGGGGAAATGAAGTTCTGCCCAGGGCCGCAGACAGAAGAGGCAGCGGCGGAAGCCTTGAGCAGCTTAAAGGAATCGAAGATGAAGCTGAAGAAGCGCTTCTTGCTCTCTCCGTGCGCGCGACCTTGAGGAGCTGGGCGGGGCCTGGTGCTGCAGTGACTCCCAGGACACTTCCAGGCTTGGCCTGTCCCCCCCCTTCCCCCCCCCAATGCTTACTGGGATTACAGAGCAAACTCCAAAGCTCCGTCAGAGCTTGAGAGACTCCTAAGCTACCTTTTGCATGTGAATATGGAAATGACAAATTACTTGATATTTGTCATAAGACTTAGATTTTTAAAAAAAGGTTACAAATTAATACTACCTGGCTTAGCTACCCATGTGCACCCCTCCTCTTATTTTTAACGAGCAGGCAAATATGAGCCCGTGGCTGTGCTACTGCTGCTGGGAAGCTGAGGGCGACCTGGAACCGTCCACCACAGACCACCAGCACACCATCAGCCTCTGCGTGGGAGCCTGCCAGCTCCGCCAGCTCCCAGCACAGGCTGCCCAGGCCTCCCAGCTCAGGCTGCCCCAGGCCTCCCAGCTCAGGCCTCCCAGCACAGGCTGCCCCAGGCCTCCCAGCACGGGCCACTCAATGACTAAAGAGTTCATGTGGCTTCAAGATGCCACCATGTGAAGTCAGGGCGGGGAGAGCCAAAGGCTGCCCCAGCGCGGAGCTAGCAGGAATAGGGACAGTGTCTAAAGCACATGAAGTCACAGTCCAAACCTCTCCTGGTCTCAGATGTCAGAGTCTTTAGTAGAGAAAATCGAAGCCAACTTCCCTGTGTCTGAGGGGAAAGTCCTCAGAGGCCGTGAGGGAGATGACAAAGTGTCTCCCGGGGCAGCCCAGACCCCTGGGGCTCACTATGGCTGTTTCCAGTCAACGTTTAGAAAATGGGGAAAAAGCAAATACTTTCACAAATACAAAAACTGTTTACAAAATAATTACCTAAAGTATTCAGTGAAGCTGGGTGGGAACAGAAGGTTTTCATTTCAAATTAGTCACAATGGTTCTGATGGTTTACAAGGGAACAGCCCATTCCCTCTTCTCACTGCCCCGCCACACCCCGAGCCTTCTACTCCTCGTTTTCCTCTCGCCCTAACCCACCCCATCCTGTAGCAATTAACTGGTCCTGAGCCCACCCTGACGACACACTAGCTGGCTGGGTCTCACTCCATGCTGCACGGATGCTGGGAGACAGCAGGGCAGGGCTCAGGCGCAAACCTCGAGGTGCAGGGCGTGGGCACGACCCAGGCTGCAGGGCGGACTTGGCTGCCATCAGCGAGGCAGGCGAGGAGGCAGAGGGGCCTGGCTGCCGGTGCCCAGGGTGGGGCGCACAGGGCTTGTGTCCCCCCCGCCGCCCGCCCCCCACCCCCCAGTGCCTTGGCCGTTTCCCCTTCTGGTTACCAGACTGCTCTTTACAGAGTCCCCGAAGCTCAGCCACTGGTCTTCCTCTGAGGTACAAAGCCACGAGAGTCTTCACTCCAGAGACCCAGAGCCGCCACGCCCAAGGCAAACGCTCCGAATCAAAAGGTGCTGGGCACCTGCCCAGCCAAGTTATCAGCAGTTGTATAGACAGGTCAGAAAAAACGAGCGTTTAGTATAAAAAGTGTTTTTCAAATGGTGCGATTTCCTATCCTTCTCTGCAGATTATAATTCTTCATGAGTCTGAGGTCCTATAGAAAAAGACAATAATTGCAAAGAAAGTTATAAAATACAGACTGGGCATGTTCTAGCACTATGACCTATTATTTGTGCCCACACCTCCATTTTATCTCTTTTTAAATTTTTAGAAACTTTGGCTTGATGTGCTTGAAAGCAAAAACAAAATAAAAAAAGACATTTATATTTTTACAAGGAAACTACCTGCATACCCCTACACAACAGGAACTGTTTTCAAAGCACAGTATTTATTTCCAGTAAAAGGTACTATTTCAGTCAGGACCCTTCCCTTTTCATTTAATAAACATCTTCCTATGTAGCTCCTTCACCATCTCTACTGGCACGCTTGGATGTTTAAGCTGTTTTCAGTACCTTTGGCTTATCAATGTTTGTAAAGTAATTTCTCCATAACTTTTTCTTCTGTTGAATGATTCTTGGAGGTGACTCCGAGAGAGAGGAATTACTGAGGCAGACCCTGGGAGCCACCTGAGGACAGCCTTGCTGCTTTGTGGCAAGGACAGCGAGAGCATGCGGGCCAGGCCCACTGGCTGTGTCGGAATGAACAGCTTCCCTGGTTAGAAAATCTTCCTAAGGTTCCTGTCACCTCCCTACTGTTTCTTCAAATTCACTCATTATGTGCTTCCCTCTTACTTGAACAGGATGTCTACATTCTTTGCCCATCTATGGAAATCCTTAAAGTTTTACCAATGAATTTGAATTATTCTTATCTTAAATATCCAACCTTTTAAGCTGTGATATTCAATATCATGATATAATCTTCAGGATGTTTGGATGAATCGCTCAAGATCCATGTTCTCTAATTGCTTTTTTAAAATTAATTTTGAGCTGTGTAAGTGTTAAGTCCAGAATTCAGCTTAGCAGTTCACAGAAGGCCACACAACTTTTCCTAACGGCCAGGGTTCACAGAGACACATCAGAGCGAGGCCGGCACGCAGACGGCTCTCCACTTGTGGCCTGAGTCACAGACAAGCACATTTGCTGGTCCTGAATGTGCTCACTCACTAGTGCCTGGACGGTGTCATGAGAAACCAAGGGATCTGGCAAGAGATTCCAATCTAATGTCAGGTTTGGCTTCTGTACCACAAAACTCCTGAACCTAAATAACAACAATACAAGGAAAGCACCCTTTCTCAAAAAAAAGGGAAGAAAAGGCAGCGACTGTGTGGGTGGCGACTCCTGTTTGGAGCTGAGACTGAGGGAGCGAGCGACACACTGGACGGCATCAAAACAGAGGCCGCTCTTCTGTCGTCTGCAGCCACCAGGAACCAGAACGGCGACGCAGTCCTTCCCAAAGCCAAGCCGGCCTACCGTCTGCGCGTGGCTCCTTCCCCCGGGCTGCCGCCGCTTTCTCCTCCTGGAAGCGGATCTGCAGCTGCTTGACCTCCTGGTCATAGTCCTGCCACTCGGGGACAATGCGAACAGCTGCCTCCAGCTTGGGCTCTTTGGTCATTGGGTTATTACACTGTGAAAACCAGAAAAATGACATATATGCTTCAGTGGAGGTGGAGAAAGGGAGCATCATTGGGAGCTCAAAGGTGTTTCTGCTCCAGGCCCTCGCTGGACCCAAGGCCTGTCAGCAGAGCAGAGCAGGGCAGGGCCTGGCTGCTGGGACAGCCGCACACACAGGAGGGCTGTGCCCTGCGCTCCCTAAACCTACGCTGCAGAGACAGACTAAGTGAGACTGTGCCCCAGGAACTGTCTGTCACACACCCTGGGACAGGCAGGAGAGGCGGCCAGCTTACCAAGTCAATGGTTTTGGCCCTTTTCTTAGAGGTGTCATCACACCACGTCTCGCACCACAGCCATTCTTGAGGGAGCGATTTAATTGGCACCTGATGGATCATGTTATTGGGCAAATCCTATTTGGTAAAAAAACAACAACAATACAACAATGTAAAGTTCTGGGGGAAATTTAAATAAATGCATAGCAAATAAGTGTTGTTAGCTGCTCATTACATAATACATGCCAGTCACAAATTTTCAGAACTGAAAGGGTGCTTACCAAAAACCTTAGAGAAGCTAAAATACTTATTTATGGTGTTTCCTAAAACCACCAAGTTCAGAGAATCCATAAAACATCTAATAGCCTGCACCTAGACCTTCCACCATGAGGGCAATTCTAAGAAAAAGTACTACTGCCTTTTGAGGGTCAACTGAAAATAGAGTAGGGCTCTCACTATTCAGTTTTGCTTAATGTAAACTCTGAATTCATCTTGTCCTCCTGAGGCCTAATCCCATATGGATGGAGCCCACATGTTTTCTAGCCAACTGTACCTATGCTTTGAAGCTTTTTTCCTCAGGAAACCTTTTGAGTTTGACACAAAAAAATGTTCCATTATGAGCCAGCAATTCCACTCCAGGTATGTACACAAAAGAACGGAAAGCAGGGACTCCAACAGATGCTTGTCTGTCAATGTTCATAGACGCATTACCCACAATAGTCAAAAGATAGAAATAAGCCACATGTCCATCAACAGATGGATAAACACAACATGGTGCATGCAAGCAATGAAATGTCACTCGATCTGGACAGGAAGAAAACTCTGATACATGCTGTCACGTGAATGAACCTTGAACATATGCCAAATGAAATAAGCCAGATACAAAAGGAAAAATATTTTATGACTTCAAAAGTACGTAAATAGGCAAATTCATAGAGACAGAAAACAGACTAGTGGTTACAAGGAGAAAAGGAGGATTATTCTTTTTTAAAAAATATAGTTTTCTTGATTTCAGAGAGGGTGGGAGAGGAAGAAAGAGAGAGAGAAACATCAATGATGAGAGAAAATCACTGATAGGCTGCCTCCTGCACGCCCCCTACTGGGGATTGAGCCCGCAACCAGGCATGTACCTGGGACCCTTCATTCCACAGGCTGACGCTCTATCCACTGAACCAAACTGGCGAGGGTGGGGGATTACTCTTTGCTGCACAGTTTCTGTTTGGGAGGATAAAAAAGTTCTGGAGATGGACAGTTACACAACACTATGAAGATACTTAACGCCACTGAGTTGTACACTTAAAAATGACTAAAATGGTAAATTTTATGCTATGTATATTTTACCACAGTTATTTATTTATTTATTTTTTACTAGTGAACTCACTGTAAGGGGAATTAAAGAATATTCTTCAGGCAGATGAAAAATGACCCTTTATAGAAGCCCAGAAATACAGGGAAGAATGAAGAGTAACCAGAGGGCAACTTTATAATAAAGCTGAATCTAGACCAGCCGTGGGCAAACTACGGCCCGCGGGCCGGATCTGGCCCGTTTGAAATGAATAAAACTAAAAAAAAAAAAAAAAAGACCGCACCCTTTTATGTATGATGTTTACTTTGAATTTATATTAGTTCACACAAACACTCCATCCATGCTTTTGTTCCGGCCCTCCGGTCCAGTTTAAGAACCCATCGTGGCCCTCGAGTCAAAACGTTTGCCCACCCCTGATCTAGACACTGACTGCGCTGATCCAGGACTTCTTCTGAGGATTCAAGTCAGAGAGGTGTCAACACGAGGCAGCAAGATGGTCAGGCTGGGATGAGCTGGGAGCAGGCAGGCTCGCAGCAGGGGAGCTGGAGAGGAAGGTGACTCGCAGGCCCAGCCACTCATTCATGAGCCTCCCGTGCCAACGGGACCCAGGAGTCAGGCTCTGGGAAGTTCTCCAGGTGATTCTTTTGTTCATGCTAAAATCTGACATCAAACTTCCCAATTGTTTTGCACTGTGTGGTAGGTGGGTAAAATATACCAAATAATTAATATTTGGAAAGTCAGACATAATACTATAATTGGTAGAATAGTCATTAAAAGAATTGTAAAAAAGTGTATAGTTTAATCGAGGGAAAATGAAATGAAAACTCTCACTCAATCTGAAAGAAACGGACTAAGGAGAAAAAGGAAACATAGGACACATGTAATAAGGAGGAGTAACACAGAAAAGACAGACTTATGGGCACTTATATAAATGGGCTAAATGTTCCAATTAAATGATTGTCACACCAAACGAAAGAACAGATACAAGCTATTTGTGAAAAAAACAGAACTAAAATATAAGGGTAGAGAAAGACTGAAAATAAAGGATTTAAAAAAAAATACAATGTAACCCTAACTGAAAGGAAGACTAATATTAGAATAAGCACACTTTAAGGCCCAAAAAAGAAAAATTAAAAAGGTATTACCAGAGATAATAAAAAGTTAATTTGTCAAAAATACATATAAGACTTCTAGCCGAAACCGGTTTGGCTCAGTGGATAGAGCGTCGGCCTGCGGACTGAAAGGTCCCAGGTTCGATTCCGGTCAAGGGCATGTACCAGGGTTGCGGGCACATCCCCAATAGGAGATGTGCAGGAGGCAGCTGATCGATGTTTCTCTCTCATCGATGTTTCTAACTCTCTATCTCTCTCCTTTCCTCTCTGTAAAAAATCAATAAAATATATTAAAAAAAAAAAATACTTCTAAGTTTCTAGCCACTCAATAACAGTCTCAAAATACGTAAAGCAAAACTTGACAAAACCAAGAACGAGAAAGATTTCACAGTACAGAAAAAGATCTTAAAACAATTTCTCAGTAACTAATAGAAAAAAAAGACATAAAACACATAACTTACTGCTAAACTGGCCCTGAGCACATATGGAAAATCATTACACCTAACGACTATAGATAAAGCCAGATGAATTGTTTATCCAGACTGACCATATCTGAGTCAAAAAGCAAATCTCAGTCAACTTCAGTGCCCGAAGTCACCGGAATACATGCTCAGATCAGAGAGCAAATGAGCCAGAAATTACGAACAAAACCACAGCGGAAGGCCGCCACCATTTCAATGTTTTGTCAGAGCAAGTGGGTGCGGGGCAGCGCCCGTGGTCGGGGGGCCGCCCCCAGGAAGCCGGCCCGCCCAGGGCAGGGCCCCGCTTGCGAGAGGATGGAAGGAGCTGGAAGGTGGCATCATTAACAACGATGGCCTTGTGCACAGGGGAGGAGGGAGGGCTCAGCGCCCGCACCCCCACAGCTGCAGGGCCGACAGTCATGTGGAGGCCGCTGCAAAGTTGCAGGTGGGCACAGCAGTCCCACCTGGGCCAACCAAGGGCCAGGTGTGAGTATGCGAAGGGGCCCCGGAAGATGGTGCCTCTGCACCCGGAGAGGGCGGCGCTGAGGCTCAGGGGAGCCCTCTTTGGAAATGGCGGAGCCCAGGCTGCGCGCAGCAAGCGGCTGGCTGAGGGCGACGGCATCATCGGGTGGCGACCTAAATGGGGAGCGCTTGGCGCTCAGAGGCTGGGGGCGAGCACACCACCTGGCTGCAGCGAGGGGGCCGGAGGCTTGTGCCTGCGGGCGCAAGAGCCCCTTTCCTCCGAGATGCCCACTCCCGCTGTCTTTGGAGACAGTGGAGCGCGCGGTCGGTTTTCACTCTGAACTCACGGCCCCAGCACAGCGCAGGCGCACTCAGAGACACTGCAGGTTCCCATCCAGACCCCTGAGTAAAGCGAGCACTGCAATAAAAACTATACATATAACGGGAAAATCCCCGTGTATTTGAGGTCACTTTTCCAACTCATGAGTCAAAGAAGAAATCACAATGGAAACTAGAAACATGCTGAATTAAATGATACGGGATTACCACATAGAAACCGTGTGGAATGCAGCCAAAGCCTTGCTGAGGCAAAATTTGAAATTTTCATGCATGTATTAGAAAAGACTAACAATAATGAACTAAACATCTATCTCAATAAATTAGAAAAAATGAAATTAAATAAAAGGTAAATAATAAACAGATGCTGGAAACCAAGATCAACAGTAATTAATATAAATGTGAGGAGTCCAGCAGAAGGCTGGCTGGGACTCCTTTTGATATTCACAGGGTGAATATTTACATTTTATTACCTACTGATGACTCAATGGCTTAAAGCAAACTCCCCCCAAACCTGACAATCTTACTGTTTACTAAACATTACCATTGATATGTCTGTTTGCAATCCTAAAAGGCAACTGTGTATTCTAGCAAATAAAAGCAGACGGAAGGGAGACTCAGCGGAACTTGACTGCTAGGGTTGAGTCTTCCTTGTCTTCCCCCCATAATTTCAAAATTAACATTTCGTCTTGTGTGTCAATTTGTGCGTCAGCTCTTTCTCCAAGCCTTTGAAGGCAAAAGCCACGCTGGCCATGGCCTTTTACAAACAGAAATTAGTGAAACAGAAAAACACTATAGACAAGATGAAAAACATTAAAAGCTAGATCTCTGAAAAGACTAGTAAAACTGATCAATTTTAAGCTGCAATACAGAGAAAGCACAAATAAACAATGCCAAGAATTAAAGAGAGAGAGGGAGAGGGAGGGGGAGAGAGAGAGAGAGGAGAGAGAGAGAGAGAGAGAGAGAGAGAGAGAGAGAGAGAGAGAGAGAGAGAGAGAGAGAGAGAGAGAAGAAATATGTATAGATCCTACAGACTTTAAAAAAGGTAACTGGTATGATGAAAACATTCTGTCTGTTGATATGCATATTTCAATACTTATTAAACAGTATACTTAACCATGTCATTGTATATAAATTATATCTCAATAAGAAAGATGAAAATTTAGTACAAACAACTCAGTGACAATATGCTAGGACATTTAGATACAACTTACACTAGTGAATTCCACCAAACATTTTTTTTTTTAATATATTTTATTGATTTTTTACAGAGAGGAAGGGAGAGAGATAGAGAGTTAGAAACATCGATGAGAGAGAAACATCGATCAGCCGCCTCCTGCACATCTCCCACTGGGGATGTGCCCGCAACCCAGGTACATGCCCTTGACCGGAATCGAACCCGGGACCCTTCAGTCCGCAGGCCGACGCTCCATCCACTGAGCCAAACCGGTTTTGGCCCAC